GGTTATAATTTTTAAAAAGTAGTTAAAACTCCAAGGTCAAGGTCAAAAGGTGAAAGTTGTTGGTATCCAATGAAAGGTGTTGCCTCAAAGAATACATGTGTGAAATATAAAAGTCCTTGTATCTACCGTTCAAAAGTTGAGACCAAAGTTATAATTTGTAAAAAGTAGTTAAAACTCCAAGGTCAAAAGGTCAAAGTTCTTGGTATAGAATGAAAGGTCTTCTTACAAGAATAAAATATGTGAAGTATAAAAGTCGTAGCCCTTACCGTTCAAAAATTATGGTCAAGGATATAGTTTTTTCATAAGTACGTAAATTTCCAAGGTCAAGGTCAAAAGGTCAAAGTTGTTGGTATTCATTGAAAGGTCTTGTCACAAAAAATAAATATGTGAAATATGAAAGTCCTAGTACCTATCATTCAAAAGTTATGGCCAAAGTAAAAGTTTGGAATTTTTTTAGTAAAAGTAGTTGAAACTCCAAGGTCAAGGTCAAAAGGTCAAATTTGGTGGTACCCAAAGAAAGGTCTTATCACAAGGAATACACATATGAAATTTGAAAATTATTGCTCCACTAAATCAGAAATTATGGGCAAGGTTAAAGTTTTTGTGACGGACGGACAGACTGACGGACAGACAGACGGACAGACGGACAGACGAATGAGATTTAATGTCCCCCTCGCTTTCGCGAAAGCGGGGGACAATAAAATGGTAAATAAAATAACATGAACAATAAAACGTTTCTAATAAATTTACAACTGAATGCTACTTTACATCACTAAAAACAACACTCCATAACCAGCCTGTCATTGTAATTAATATGCAAAATTATAAAGTCCAACCCCCATGCATATAACACTATAAAAAGTACCGTCTACTCCAATGATATCATTAATATATCTAATATTATTGTCAAAAAGTTTTTTACTATAAAAGGTTTTCCCTCCAATATGTATATTAGGGTTATAAAACAATGAACAGTCCACATTTACATCAAAATTACTACAAATTTTATCCAAATCAATCCAGGATTTGAACACATCAATCCAGAATTTATTTTTTTAAGTTTTTTGTAAGTTGAGTGATGTATTCAATTCCACAGGATGTATAAATTTATACATGTTCATATTTTTTATGAAATTTTCTCACCCTTTATTTGTATAAACCAGATGTCTAATTCAAAATAATTTCACTGAAGCAATGAAAGAATATAAATTTATCATTTTCAGTCCTCCATATTCATAGCTTTTGATAATGACATCTTTCTTAACTCTGTGTGTTGAATTATTCCATAAGAATGAAAAGAAGAGTTTTTCTAATTTTTTACAATAAGCATTATATGGAATAGGGATTGATATAAGTAAATGATTTAATATCGGTAAAGCCAAAGTCTTTACAACAGTAAGTTTTCCTATTGGTGTTACAAATCTTTTTCCCCACTGACTAAGAATGGATTTGATTTGCACTAGCTTCGGTTGGTAATTTATTTCAGGCACTTTTTATAAGTCAACATCAAAATCTTATCCTAGCAAGGTAAATCTACTAGTTGTTCCCCAATTAAGTTGGTAATTTGGGATTAAAACCTCATCACTGTATTTTTGGATCCAATCCACACAGTGTGTGTTTTTGAGTAATTAACATCAGTTCTCTGTAATATAATATTAAAGAGTGTCCTATATAAAGACTATAGGTGGGTAAATTTTGGACAGTGCTTCCTTGGTTTCCATAGCAACGGCCTTGAAATATTTTGCCATGGCGAAAATGACCTAATTGTCATCACCATGCAAAATAATTCCATGCTTCCTAAACATAGAAAAGTTGAGAACGTAACATGGGTCTCATTTTATAGCTAACTAATCAAAGTTTCTTGGCATGTAAATTTTATTCAATTTAACTCAAGGTTTTTAATATAATACAGATCAATTTACACGAAGATTGTCATAAAATGATTACAAAGGTACCTATTTCTTCACGTGCACAGAAATTTTTGCAGGCAATTTCAACTTATGAAAAAGGTTTTTTCAGTAAGATAGAACTTAGATCTAAAAGATACAAAAAGATTTGAGGTGGGTAAATCAGTTAAATGTTGTTTTCCATTCGCCTGAAATCATCACTTTTCATGAAAATTGACCAAGAGTTATTTCCTTTTGCTGACTCTTTTGCACTGAAGACAAAAAATGGTTTACTCTCCTGTCAAAAGAAGTTTCTAACAACATGCAAGTAAGTAATTTATTTATTTATAGTGACATGTGTACAATTAAATTCTTTTGTTTACAGACTGTATAAAATAACAATCAACACCCGGCCCATTGGGCCTTTATGCCACTTTAAACACAAAATTGAAATACAATATATAAAGAAAATAAGGAGCACAACGTTAAGAGAATAACAAAAAAGTGCATGAAAAATAAACATAATTGTGATAAATATATATCTATACATTTTGTATGGTAAGATTGGTAGTGTCTGTTATAAGGATTATTGGTAGATGAAAATGAAATTGAAATACATTATTATTTTCTGAACATGTCTTCGCATAAATGAAAAGTACAAGTACTTTGTCACCTGTCTAGGATAATTTGAAATAAGTACACATATGAATCCATATCTGACCACCCCATTTGATTAATGCCAGTGTTTTCAAAAAGTTTTGATCGATATTCAGAGAATAAGGACAATGCAGTAAAAAATGAATTTCGTCTTCTACATTATTTCTAAAACAAAGTGTGCAAATTCGATCCTCAACAGATTCACCATGATTTCTACCGGTTTCTATTCGTAAAGGTAAAGTGCCACATCTAAATTGTGCTAAAATTGAACGTAAACATTTAGGCATATCAAGTGCAACATAATTTTCCCTACCAAACATTGTTTTAAAATTAACATAAGTCCGCAGTTTGGGAATGCTTAAAATCTCATTGTTCCAAAGGTTTGAGTAATAATTGTATATTTTTGATTGAACCATATTTATATCTACTATAAGCTTTGACTCGAAATAGTAATCCAACTCTAGTTGGTGTAATATATCTTTCAAATCACTGCACCAGTTATTCTTACACTTATTGTAATCAACTTCAAAAACAATTCTTGTAATACGATCATTGCTAAAGGATAAAACTCTATTCCAATATCTGATTACATTTATCCAACGTCTGTATTGACTTGGAATCCATCCAGTGTCTCCATAAATCCCCAATGTAGGAGCAAAACGGTGAACCCCAATAAAATAACGAATAGCTCTGTTCTGAATATATTAACTATAGGCTGGAATCTTTTGTAACCCCAGACACTGGATGCATAATCCAAAACAGGTATGACACAAGAGTAGAATAGTTTTTCATAAGCATTAAACCTTAAATCTTTATTACTATGAATCGAAGATATAATTTTCCCTAGTGCACGTCCCCCTGCTTTAGCAATATTTTCTGCATTTTTCATGAAATTACCAGTGTGCGTAAATGTTATACCTAATACTTATAATTTTCAACTGTTTCTAACTTATTTAGTCCAATAGTGAATTCAAAATTGGCTGCCCTTGACTTAGTTTTATTAAAATGTACACACTTAGATGTATTAGTGTTTATAAGTACTCTCCAACGTCTACACCAACTATGTAGTTTATCTAACATACTTTGTAAATCTTCTGGAGACTTGGCTATCAAAGCGATATCATCTGCATATAATAAGATGGACAATTTTCGATCAACTAGTTCTATGCCTAAATTAAGATTAGACATGTAGCAAAACAGACACCAAGAAAATATACAATGAGATTGATTGATTGATTGTATACAGTTTAACGTCCCTCTCCAGAATATTTCACTGATATGGAGACGTCACCATTGCCGGTGAAGGGCTGCAAATTTAGGCCTATGCTCGGCACTCAGGGCCTTTGAGCAGGGAGGGATCTTTTTCGTGCCACACCTGCTGTGTCACGGGGCCTCGGTTTATACGGTCTCATCCGAAGGACCGCCCCATTTAGTCGCCTTTTACGACAAGTAAGGGGGTACTGAGGACCTATTCTAACCCGGATCCCCACGGGAATATACAATGAGAAATGATGTTTAAGTTGTGAGTGACAAAGTAAGTCATCAATTAATTAATGAAAATGAAAGAGACAGGTCTTGTGAAATATTGGAACAAAATTTATGAAGTCTGACTAGAGGGATTCCATCTATTCTAAAAACCCATACGTACATAATGATGCAAATGGAAGAAAACATTAAAAAGCAGTGGATACAGCCACCGGGAAATCAGTAGGAATGGATCTACATTAGGCACAGGTAAAAAAAAATGTAGAAATTTGTGTTTACTTTAGAAAGCAAATTAACTTACTCTTGAAAATCATATAACTATTAATTAGGAGGAGAATGTAATAGAAGATGTAACTTAAGTTTGTGTGTATGAAATGAAAAAATTAATATGTGTTTCGGGTACAGACTACATTGTTGTGAAGTGTGTGTGTGTGTTTTAATTGGGGGGGGGGGTAAAAAATATTTTGGGAAGTGTGTATAAATTAGAGACGGACGTAAACACATGCATATTATAAGGCTCTATTCAGATTGACTGTGAAAAAAACCCCATAATTTTTAATTAACTTTAGCAATATATAACGTTACACACTTTAATAAAATACATGTATAAAATGATATGCCCTAGCTGGTAGGTATGTATTCATGCAAATTTATTTCATTTTAATAATTAATAATAAATTTATTTTTAGATGTACTATACAGTTCAAACTATGAAAAGATAACATTGAGAATTCATTTTCAGTAAAAAGCAGGTGAGAATTTTTTTTAAATATTAAAATTATCTGGTAAGCATGGTAAGGAAATAAACATTCATCATAATTTAATGCTAATAACTACATGTACGTGCCACAGCAAAATTAAATCTTTTATTAATTTCATCATTTTTTCTTATAAAGTCTTGGGATAAAGTAATTAAAAAAAAAAGAATCAAAATTGGTTGTGGAACCTACTATGATTGTATTGTTACATTTTAGAACTGTGACACAGGAGCATCACTTGTGAAAGGTTACAAATGTAATGAAGGATATATGAGCAACTGTAAGTAGACTGTTACATAATTTAATTCAATTTTCTCAACAGAGTCAACACATGATGTATGTTTTAATAAAAAAAAATTTTCAAAGAGGTTTTAGAATTTTTTTGGTTCTATTTATTAAAAGAAATATACTCTTACCATACTTGATTCACAAGCAAATTTAAAATTAATTGTGGGTACACCTTATAACTTACAAGTATTCAATCAAAATTTGTTCAGGAAAGTTTTTCTTGTATTTACAAATTCATAAATTGAATATGTATTAAACTATTATGCAACTGTTCTTGGATACATGTATATATGAAATAGTATGAATATCCCTAACATACATAATGCATATATGTATGATTTATGCAAGAAAGTTGCATATAAGGCCTGTAAATAACTATAAATAGAGGAACCCTAAATAGAAATACTAATATCCAGTTTACAGCAATGAACTATATAGTTGCAAGTGATTAGGAAATAATCTTTGTTTTTATGTTTTTATCTTTTTTTTTAACACAAAGGTAATATACCAGAAACAGGAGGCAGTTACAAAATTAATAAACGCAGACAGAAAACTTGCAAGTGATCCTGCATGAGAACTTAACACCAGACAGTATTGTTACCAAACAGTATTCTTTTGGAGGGAATTCTGTTTAAAGAAATTGGAGATCAGAAGTTTTGAAGTTTGTGATGGTAAATTCACTAAATTGTTTAGGTTGCTTTTATTTTCCATTTCTTATACTTAAAATATTTTTGAGGTATTTTTTTCAAGGTTTAAATACTAACAATTGGTTTAGAATTAAATATATAATAGTGAAAAATATATCAATTTTGTTTTCACATGAAAAAATGTTGTAGATAAATAATGAATTTAAATTTCGGTATAGATGTATGTTTTTTTTATTCCAGGGAAAACGTAGAAGAGGTTATTTCAAGTGTCACTTTTTAAACCCATTTTCTTCACTGGACAGCCATAACACCACATACAGCAAAACTCGTTAAGTACAAACACGGATATTGTGAATTTACGGATAAAGCGAAGTCATCTTGGATCCCCAACTATATAAATTAAACACATTCCTTATACAGTTATAACAAATTACGGATATAGCAAAGTAACTTCGAAGGTCCCCATGCCTTTGTTATAACTAAGTTTAATTACTGTAACAGTGAACATCTGATGTTAAAAAAAATGGTAACATTAAATCTAGCTGTTTCATCAAAATTGCTATGTAACAGATTTTTTTTTGTTTAATACATATTTTGACATATAAATACACATTTTAGATAATGTTCAGAATGAACATTTTCTTGATTAATAATTTGAAAAAAAAAACTGTATTAATATAAAAGCTGTTATATATACATGTACTGTAGATCACATAATTTTTGCAATTATTTTACCTTATTTTCACAACATTGTCATTGACTCTTTTTTAAATAGACACATTTTTCACAAATTGACGTCAATACTCTTTTTAATCTCAAAAAATACTATTTTATGTGAGAATTAATTTTCTGAGAGCACAAAGTCTTGTTTAATAGTGGGAAAATAATGTTCTCGTGAATAAAACTGATAAACAGAATACACTTGAGTAAGTGTATGTTTACAGATTGTTAGTGATAAATTAATGATTTTTTCAATGTGTTGTTAGTTTTATAGTCAATTTAAATTCAGCACCTTTTCTCTGTTTTGTATCTAGTATTTGAAAATATTGATTACTGGGCAAAGTTCCTGTGAAAGGTTATCAGTATGTTGTTGGTGTTGCAAGGTCTTAAAGATGCATATTAGTATGTGCCAGTCTAGAATTTTCTTGTTTTTCCTCAAGATAATAGCATTAAGCCAATCTTAGAATCTTATTTTGCTTGGTTTCACTGTGTAACTGTGGAAACCGTAAAAGTTATTTATAGAATGATTTTGCTAACACTTATTTCTTTGAGATCAAATATTTTATTGTTTTTCTTAAGTTGTTATTAAATTTTGGTCAAGTTACGCCTAGAATTAGTGAATACTTTGCATTTTTCAGTATTTAAATTGGCTTTCAAATATACTCATATTTACGACTGACTTACATGTACAAATAATTTTCTAAACATTTTCTGTGTAGCATAAAATTAAAACAAGGTGTGTAGTTTTTGTGAGAATAATTTGTTGGTTTTTCTTAGATTTTATTAAATGTTCAGAAGAGATTACAAAAAGCCAAATGTCTCAATTTTTCAAAAATTTCTGGCTGTTTCCATAGCAACCAAGATACCTTGCAACCAAATTTTATTTGATATTTTTATTTTTGGTATCAAGTATTACTAATGGGAAAGTTTCATCAGAATCAGTGCATGACAAAGAAGTTTAATTGTTTATAGAAAATGGCTATCAAAGAGCTAATTTTTGCTAGATTTTGAGTTATCTGCCCTTTGTAAGGGGTCATTGAGAAACAATACTAAAACAATTTATTTTGATTTATTTTAATTAGTAGCTTTTAAAAAAATAAAAAACCATTTATTATTCATTTGATTTCTCTGTTTGGAAAAGAAGTTTTATTAAACAACTAGTGTCTGGTAAAATTTTGAAAAAGAAACAAATTATTTGGCAAAATGCCAATTTTGGAAGGTAAAAATATTTTAAACAAATAAAATACCCGCTCTACTTTTTATAAAAGTTCAATAACATTATTATAGTGTTTTTAAAATTTCAGTTGATTTTTTCTCATATTGCTTGCAATTCTTGATAGACCTCTAGAAAAACAGGGTAAAAATGCCCATTTTCGAAATGTTAGAATTTGGTCATCTTTGAGCCACCAAATGAAGAATTTGCTGTGACATTTAGAATTTTTTTTATTTGTGTAATATATTGCTCCATATGTTCTGTTCATATAATGTATTATTTATCTTATAAAAATAAAGATGATTATACTATATGAAATGAATTATACAGTATTTTTATGTGTGAAATGGGCATAAATGGGGCTAAAATCTATTTTTGTCCGTTATCATGGCAACCAAGGTGGTAACCTTAATTTTGAATGTTGATTATGTCATACTGTATGGGCATTAATCACCTGAAAAAGTTTCATTGAAATCGCCCATGGTGTGTGCCACAGCCCTACAGTAAGATTTTGGTCCTTACAGAGAATTGATGTTAATACATAATCTAGACATAGCCGAAAAAGTGTTCAAGGTTTTCAGTTTTTCTAAAAGAGACTCCTCACTTCCATCAAAATAAGAGAAGTATCATCCGCCAGTTGAGATATCTTTTTATCTATATTTCCAATGGTAATACCTTTTCTTTTTTTATTTTTCCTAATTTATATAGCTAAAATCTCAGCGCATATCAGAAAAATATATGGAGACAAAGGGTCTCCTTGTCTGCATCCCCTTTGAATTTTAATTCCATCAGAAAAGTTACCTCCTTGATGAACCGTAGCTTTAATATCAGTGTAGAAAAGAGTGACCCATTTTCTCATGGAAGAAAATGCTATGTAGATCCGTTTAGGCAACTTCATGAAGCACTTCGTAGATATTCATGGGGGAAAAAGTCTCTATTTAAGCAAAGTAGGCTTGACTTCTTCCTACTGTCAGATTCACTTTTATCAGGATTAGATACATGTACTATAGAACCCAGTTACAGATCAGATCACTCTATTATTTCTCTCTCGCTAATATTTAATGACTTTAAGAGAGGTCGCGGTTTGTGGAAATTTAATAACTCATTGCTTTATGATGAAAAGTACTTGAACTGTATCAAGGATGTTATTTTACAGGTCAAAAAACAATATGCAATCTCAGTATACAATTATGACAACATTCACACAGTGCCAGATGAAAATATATTCTTCACTATAAATGATCAACTATTTTTGGAAACCTTACTATTAGAAATAAGGGGTAAAACTATATCTTATTCAGCATATGTCAAAAAGAAGAGAGAAAATGAGGAAAAATTATTGATCGAGGACATCAAATGTATGGAAGAAAATATTTCTTGAAAGTAATTTAGAAGAACTACATGATAAAAAACAAGAATTAGAAAAAAAAATAGAAAGCACAAGTTACAAGCTAATTACATAAGAAATAGAGCAAGATGGATTGAGGAAGGGGAAAAGCCCACAAGCTACTTTTGCAAACTGGAGTCTAGAAATTTTACAAGTAAAATTATATCAAGATTAGAATTAGATAATGGCGAGGTTATTCATGATCAGTCACATATCTTGAAAGATTAAATCTTTCTATGAAAATTTATGCACCATTAAAGAAGAAAATACAAACTTTTACAATTTTCATCAAGTGATATCTTTTCAAAACCCCTGGTAATGCATGCTGATTTTTTATAAACGGAAATCTGATGGCGCTGTAATCTTAAATTAGAAATATCTTGAAACTTTTTAGTAGATAAGATATGTTGCCTATGTCCTTATTTGTTGTTGACGACTAAGACATCGGTTTCGCAGGTTAACAAACAATAATGGTTTTTGGTGTCGTTTAAAATACGTATTTTTCTTTAAATTATATGAGTTTTCATCATTTGATACCTTTTCAAAACCCCTGGTAATGCATGCTGAATGTTTGTCTGCGAACTTCTGATGTCACTATGATCTTGATTTAAAAATTTCTTGAAAAATTATCAGGTAAGGTATGTTGCGTATGTCCTTTTATGCATTTTGTTCTCTAAAAACACTTTCTAACGCTCCTTACATATATCTTTGAAAACTTACATTGTTGTATATGTATTTTCAAAAGATATATTCATAAAAAATGCAGTATCTTAGTTTGCTTTTAAAATCGGTGACGGTTACAAAAGCTATGACCCTAACTTACAGAATCTATGAGATAAGATTGGATCATTACTGATATCGTTGTACTTGACATACTTTGCCCATTATGTCAGTACTATTTGAGGCTGCTTTTATATGAAATCATTCTTCTCACCTCGGCTGACTACGGTACCTACATCATTTAATGTCATCGGCCGAGGTGTGCCAAATGAAATGAAATAAAACAATTTCGTATGACCATATTAATTGCAGACATTAATTCACAACTACAATAGTACATGTAATATTTGATAGGTGAAATTAATATACATTCAGAAAGAAAGTCCCTTGTTATCTATAATAAAGAAATATTTTTCTTGAGTTTATTATGCTAACATACATGTATGGTGAATAAAAGTATTGTACAGCTGATGCAAAATAGAAGTAGAATCTTACAGACGGTTGGTTTAAAAGGTTAACGTACCAGAAAACAGTCGCGCTTGTCACAAGAACCAACAGTACGATAGAATTCATGGTCATGTGTGATGTTTCTCATTAGACTTGTCATAAATACATGTACCGATAAAACGTGAGAAGGTTAAGTAGTCCATAGTATTCTTGACTCTTATATTAAATAAACAGACGTTTGATCAGTAAATTTTGAATTGAATAAATATTTCTATCAGCATGGAGGAAGATCCAGGATGTTGCATTTTGGTTGGGGGATGAAAGTATTTTAGAGACATGAGGTCTGATTGTCACCGGTAGGTCCATTGCAAAGCCTTTGTTAGAGTCAGGGGGCAAAGTCTCCGGGAGTGAAACATTGAGATAACGAAGAGTATTGAAGCTCAAATGTCCATTCAAACGATACCAAGCAAAAACAAAATACACGAACATCCCTCTTTAACATCGGAGGTGGGATCAGGCCCTTAGAACATGAAAGATCTTAAGCTTAAGTCAAAAACTTTACCTAGTGCTGAAATTTTGTAGAAGACAAATAATTCAAAATGAAAATGTTATTTTATATTGCACTTCCAAAAAGCTGTTATCTAAAAATGTAAATATTCTGTTGAGAATTAATAAACATTTTACAGTTGATTAAAAATTTGACTTAAGTCTAAGTGTGTTTCATGATCCAGGGGCCAGGTGTCATAAAGGAATGAGCATGATCTATGCCGACTGATCTCACACGCTGTGTGCTCTTTGTCATGATTAAAGAAACGGGAAAATTCGAATACAAATCAGTGTGTAAACTAGAGGTACCATGAGCAATGAGCTCACTAAATGATATCCGTTCCTACCATATCATGATAATGATTGATTGATTGATTGTACTCGTATCTTGTTTTACGTCTCATTCGAAAAAAAAATTCATTCATATAGAGACGTCACCAAATCCGGAGGAAGGACTTCAAATTTTGACCTTTACTTAGCACTCAGGTCCTTTGAGAAGTGACAGTTCTTTATAATGCCAACGTCTGTCGTGACTTGGGGCCTCGGTTTTTAATGTCTCCTCTGAAGGACCCCCAATTTTCACTTCAAAATGCCAAGTGCTTGGCGAAAGAAGCATTGCTATCCATTATTGTTATAAAATAAAAAAAAATGATTATATTGGCAAAGTTCTGGGAGACCCGAAATGAATGTCTGATCAAAAAGTAAAATAGGAGGTACACAGTGGCAATTTGTAATAAAGATTCAGGTGTATAAGACAAGTAGTAGATAAGAGAGCTACACCCTACAATGTTATAGAAAGAATGTCAGTGTTTTGATATAGGAAACCCAAAATATGTGTCTGATCAAAACGTAAAATAGGAGGTCACAATGGCATATGAAACAAGATTCTGTGAAAGTATCATTAAATTGCATTCATTGGTATAAGAGGACTTGCGAATCCCCATCACTTTACACCCCCACTTTTCAAGCCGAGGGGGGGGGGGGTGTTAAGATATTTGCCTAACAGGTAGTATGAAAAAAACGTCCATCAATATTTGACTGAATTATGGCATATATGTATTTGCCGACAAGATCATTGTACTAGTATTGAAGTTTGCGCCCGAGGGTGACAACCTCATAAGAGAAGTTGTGGATAGGAAATGGGGACCCCAAAAAGTAATAGGAGGACGGACAGATGGACGGACATCCCGAGCTTTTCGAGCTGTGGGGGGTTAAATAACGCATCAGATCCACTTAGTTTTATACATTAAATAACAAAAATACCTATGTTTTGCATTGGGGACCCGAAATGAGTGTCAGATCAAATCTTTTATAGGAGGTGCACAATGTCATAATGTAATGAAAAAAAACTGTGTAATAAGTATCATTAAATTTCATTCAGTGGTATAGGATGAGTTGCGGATAAAAAAAGGCCGTGCATGTTTGCAATGGGAAACCCAAAATATGTGTCCGATCAAAAAACAAAATTGGAGGTGCACAACGCACTATATAACAATCACTATATAACAAAGATTCTGTAAAAGTCTCATTAAATTTTATTTCGTGGTAAAAGAGGAGTTGCGGATAAGTAATGGGTACTCTAAAGCGTAACAGACGGACGGACGTACGGACACCCCGAACACTACATATGTTCGTGTAAGTTTACAACGGTCGTCTAACAAAGTGTACATTAAAATCAATAAAAATGATACAAAAACATCTTATAGATTTTAATATCAATTCTCTGTAAGGACCAAAATCTTACTGTAGGGCTGTGGCACACACCATGGGCGATTTCAATGAAACTTTTTCAGGTGATTAATGCCCATACAGTATGACATAATCAACATTCAAAATTAAGGTTACCACCTTGGTTGCCATGGTAACGGACAAAAATAGATTTTAGCCCCATTTATGCCCATTTCACACATAAAAATACTGTATAATTCATTTCATATAGTATAATCATCTTTATTTTTATAAGATAAATAATACATTATATGAACAGAACATATGGAGCAATATATTACACAAATAAAAAAAAATTCTAAATGTCACAGCAAATTCTTCATTTGGTGGCTCAAAGATGACCAAATTCTAACATTTCGAAAATGGGCATTTTTACCCTGTTTTTCTAGAGGTCTATCAAGAATTGCAAGCAATATGAGAAAAAATCAACTGAAATTTTAAAAACACTATAATAATGTTATTCAACTTTTATAAAAAGTAGAGCGGGTATTTTATTTGTTTAAAATATTTTTACCTTCGAAAATTGGCATTTTGCCAAATAATTTGTTTCTTTTTCAAAATTTTACCAGACACTAGTTGTTTAATAAAACTTCTTTTCCAAACAGAGAAATCAAATGAATAATAAATGGTTTTTTATTTTTTTAAAAGCTACTAATTAAAATAAATCAAAATTAATTGTTTTAGTATTGTTTCTCAATGACCCCTTACAAAGGGCAGATAACTCAAAATCTAGCAAAAATTAGCTCTTTGATAGCCATTTTCTATAAACAATTAAACTTCTTTGTCATGCACTGATTCTGATGAAACTTTCCCATTAGTAATACTTGATACCAAAAATAAAAATATCAAATAAAATTTGGTTGCAAGGTATCTTGGTTGCTATGGAAACAGCCAGAAATTTTTGAAAAATTGAGACATTTGGCTTTTTGTAATCTCTTCTGAACATTTAATAAAATCTAAGAAAAACCAACAAATTATTCTCACAAAAACTACACACCTTGTTTTAATTTTATGCTACACAGAAAATGTCTAGAAAATTATTTGTACATGTAAGTCAGTCGTAAATATGAGTATATTTGAAAGCCAATTTAAATACTGAAAAATGCAAAGTATTCACTAATTCTAGGCGTAACTTGACCAAAATTTAATAACAACTTAAGAAAAACAATAAAATATTTGATCTCAAAGAAATAAGTGTTAGCAAAATCATTCTATAAATAACTTTTACGGTTTCCACAGTTACACAGTGAAACCAAGCAAAATAAGATTCTAAGATTGGATTAATGCTATTATCTTGAGGAAAAACAAGAAAATTCTAGACTGGCACATACTAATATGCATCTTTAAGACCTTGCAACACCAACAACATACTGATAACCTTTCACAGGAACTTTGCCCAGTAATCAATATTTTCAAATACTAGATACAAAATAGAGAAAAGGTGCTGAATTTAAATTGACTATAAAACTAACAACACATTGAAAAAATCATTAATTTATCACTAACAATCTGTAAACATACACTTACTCAAGTGTATTCTGTTTATCAGTTTTATTCACGAGAACATTATTTTCCCACTATTAAACAAGACTTTGTGCTCTCAGAAAATTAATTCTCACATAAAATAGTATTTTTTGAGATTAAAAAGAGTATTGACGTCAATTTGTGAAAAATGTGTCTATTTAAAAAAGAGTCAATGACAATGTTGTGAAAATAAGGTAAAATAATTGCAAAAATTAGGTGATCTACAGTACATGTATATATAACAGCTTTTATATTAATACAGGTTTTTTTTTCAAATTATTAATCAAGAAAATGTTCATTCTGAACATTATCTAAAATGTGTATTTATATGTCAAAATATGTATTAAACAAAAAAAAATCTGTTACATAGCAATTTTGTTGAAACAGCTAGATTTAATGTTACCATTTTTTTTAACATCAGATGTTCACTGTTACAGTAATTAAACTTAGTTATAACAAAGGCATGGGGACCTTCGAAGTTACTTTGCTATATCCGTAATTTGTTATAACTGTATAAGGAATGTGTTTAATTTATATAGTTGGGGATCCAAGATGACTTCGCTTTATCCGTAAATTCACAATATCCGTGTTTGTACTAAACGAGTTTTGCTGTATGTGGTGTTATGGCTGTCCAGTGAAGAAAATGGGTTTAAAAAGTGACACTTGAAATAACCTCTTCTACGTTTTCCCTGGAATAAAAAAAACATACATCTATACCGAAATTTAAATTCATTATTTATCTACAACATTTTTTCATGTGAAAACAAAATTGATATATTTTTCACTATTATATATTTAATTCTAAACCAATTGTTAGTATTTACACCTTGAAAAAAATACCTCAAAAATATTTTAAGTATAAGAAATGGAAAATAAAAGCAACCTAAACAATTTAGTGAATTTACCATCACAAACTTCAAAACTTCTGATCTCCAATTTCTTTAAACAGAATTCCCTCCAAAAGAATACTGTTTGGTAACAATACTGTCTGGTGTTAAGTTCTCATGCAGGATCACTTGCAAGTTTTCTGTCTGCGTTTATTAATTTTGTAACTGCCTCCTGTTTCTGGTATATTACCGCATATTTGAGTTCATCTCATAATATGCGTCGTTATCTAAGCTCTATATATCCTTTGATTATATGTCATCATTCACCTCCTTTTTGTGAAAAATTAATAAATGAGATAAGCCGGAATTTATTTATCCATCCATGCAGTGTCAGTACGTAGTTACGAGGTTTACGGGTTATCTCCCCTTTTCTATGCATCAATGAAAGTGAAAGGTGGGTGATGAAAGTATCCGATTTATTTTTCTGTATTATGAAATATTTTTTAATAATTTCCA